TGCAGACAAAGAGGATGGAGACAGACATGCTATGTGGAGTAATGACCAAGCTGAAGCAGGTGCAAAAATCAGCAAAGGACGTGGCAATTCCCACTAAATAAGCTTTTTGTACCCTGCGTCGCAGCACATGTGTAGCAGTGCAGACAAAGAGGATGGAGACAGACATGTTATGTGGAGTAATGACCAAGCTGAAGCAGGTGCAGAAGTCAGCAAATGACGTGGCAATTCCCACTAAGTAAGCTTTTCGTACCCTTCAGGAGGAACAAAGTTTATGCTTCTTGAAAGCTTTACAAGACATCCATGTCGGTCAACCGCGGATCGCATTTTCAAGTCCGTTTTGTGTGGCAGGTGTGGGACGGTCAATTATCACCCTCTTTTAAATATATAAGATTTTAAAGCTTTTGGAGGGTGGAAATGCGACCGGGGTACGACAAAGCTCCATGCTAGGATTCTACGGGGAAAGGGTGTGCAGAAGAAGAAGCCAAACATGTTCACTGTTGGGAATCTCAACAAGAGCAAAACTTTTGTTCCTCCCAGTGCGTCCGACATGTGTAGCAGTTGGCAGGACAAGAGGATGGAGACAGACATTGGTAGTGGAGTAATGCAAAGCTGAAGCAGTGCAAAAATAGCAAATGACGTGGCACATTACCACTAAATAAGCTTTTTGTACCCTGCGTCACGGCACATGGTAGCAGTGCAGACAAGAGGCGATGGAGACCGACATGCTATGTGGAAAGAATGACCAAGCGAAGCAGGTGCAAAAAATAGCCAAGAATTTGACGTTGCAATTCCCACTAATAAGCTGTTGTACCCATGCGTCGCAGCACTGTGTTGAGCCGTGCCCTCCAAAGAGGATGGACAGACAAGACAGTTATGTGGAGTAGTAATGACCAAGCTAAGCAGGTGCAGAAGCAGAAAGGACGTGGCAATTCCCACTAAATAAGCTTTTCGTACCCTGCGTCACGGCACATGTGTAGCAGTGCAGACAAAGAGGATGGAGACAGACATGTTATGTGGAGTAATGTCCAAGCTGAAGCAGGTGCACAAATCAGCAAATGACGTGGCAATTCCCACTAAATAAGCTTTTTGTACCCTGCGTCACGGCACATGTGTAGCAGTGCAGACAAAGAGGATGGAGACAGACATGCTATGTGGAGTAATGACCAAGCTGAAGCAGGTGCAGAAGTCAGCAAATGACGTGGCAATTCCCACTAAATAAGCTTTTCGTACCCTTAGGAGGTAACCAAAGTTTTATGCTTCTTGAAAGCTTTACAAAGACATCCATGTCGGTGTTCCCCACCCGCGGATCGCATTTCAAGTTCCGTTTTTTTGTGGCAGGTGTGGGACGGTCAATTATCACCCTTTTTAAATATCTAAGATTTTTAAAGCTTTGGAGGGTGGAGGAAATGCGACCGGGGTAGACAAACAAAGCTCAATGGCTAGGATTCTACCGGGGTGACAGGTGTGTGCAAGAAGAAGAAAGCAAAAATGTTCACTGTGGGAAGCTCAACACGCGGCAATTTTGTTCCTACCAGTGAGTCACGGCACAGGTGTAGCGTGCGACAAAGAGGATGGAGCAGCCTGTTCTGTGGAGTCCTGTCCAGCTGAAGCAGGTCAAAAAAATCAGCAAAATGACGTGGCAATTCCCACTAAATAAGTTTTTGTACCTGCGTCACGGCACATGTGTAGAGTGCAGACAAGAGGATGGAGACAGACATGTTATGTGGAGTAATGTCCAAGCTGAAGCAGGTGCAAAAGTCAGCAAAGGACGTGGCAATTCCCACTAAATAAGCTTTTTGTACCCTGCGTCACGGCACATGTGTAGCAGTGCAGACAAAGAGGATGGAGACAGACATGTTATGTGGAGTAATGACCAAGCTGAAGCAGGTGCAAAAATCAGCAAATGACGTGGCAATTCCCACTAAATAAGCTTTTCGTACCCTGCGTCACGGCACATGTGTAGCAGTGCAGACAAAGAGGATGGAGACAGACATGCTATGTGGAGTAATGACCAAGCTGAAGCAGGTGCAAAAATCAGCAAATGACGTGGCAATTCCCACTAAATAAGCTTTTTGTACCCTGCGTCACGGCACATGTGTAGCAGTGCAGACAAAGAGGATGGAGACAGACATGTTATGTGGAGTAATGACCAAGCTGAAGCAGGTGCAGAAGTCAGCAAATGACGTGGCAATTCCCACTAAATAAGCTTTTCGTACCCTTCAGGAGGAACAAAGTTTATGCTTCTTGAAAGCTTTACAAGACATCCATGTCGGTCAACCGCGGATCGCATTTTCAAGTCCGTTTTGTGTGGCAGGTGTGGGACGGTCAATTATCACCCTCTTTTAAATATATAAGATTTTAAAGCTTTTGGAGGGTGGAAATGCGACCGGGGTACGACAAAGCTCCATGCTAGGATTCTACGGGGAAAGGGTGTGCAGAAGAAGAAGCCAAACATGTTCACTGTGGGAAGCTCAACAAGCGCAACTTTTGTCCTACCAGTGCGTCACGGCACATGTGTAGCAGTGCAGACAAAGAGGATGGAGACAGACATGTTATGTGGAGTAATGTCCAAGCTGAAGCAGGTGCAAAAATCAGCAAATGACGTGGCAATTCCCACTAAATAAGCTTTTGTACCCTGCGTCACGGCACATGTGTAGCAGTGCAGACAAAGAGGATGGAGACAGACATGTATGTGGAGTAATGACCAAGCTGAAGCAGGTGCAAAAATCAGCAAATGACGTGGCAATTCCCACTAAATAAGCTTTTTGTACCCTGCGTCGCAGCACATGTGTAGCAGTGCAGACAAAGAGGATGGAGACAGACATGTTATGTGGAGTAATGACCAAGCTGAAGCAGGTGCAGAAGTCAGCAAATGACGTGGCAATTCCCACTAAATAAGCTTTTCGTACCCTTCAGGAGGAACAAAGTTTATGCTTCTTGAAAGCTTTACAAGACATCCATGTCGGTCAACCGCGGATCGCATTTTCAAGTCCGTTTTGTGTGGCAGGTGTGGGACGGTCAATTATCACCCTCTTTTAAATATATAAGATTTTAAAGCTTTTGGAGGGTGGAAATGCGACCGGGGTACGACAAAGCTCCATGCTAGGATTCTACGGGGAAAGGGTGTGCAGAAGAAGAAGCCAAACATGTTCACTGTGGGAAGCTCAACAAGCGCAACTTTTGTCCTACCAGTGCGTCACGGCACATGTGTAGCAGTGCAGACAAAGAGGATGGAGACAGACATGTTATGTGGAGTAATGACCAAGCTGAAGCAGGTGCAAAAATCAGCAAATGACGTGGCAATTCCCACTAAATAAGCTTTTTGTACCCTGCGTCGCAGCACATGTGTAGCAGTGCAGACAAAGAGGATGGAGACAGACATGCTATGTGGAGTAATGACCAAGCTGAAGCAGGTGCAAAAATCAGCAAATGACGTGGCAATTCCCACTAAATAAGCTTTTTGTACTGCGTCGCAGCACATGTGTAGCAGTGCAGACAAAGAGGATGGAGACAGACATGTTATGTGGAGTAATGACCAAGCTGAAGCAGGTGCAGAAGTCAGCAAATGACGTGGCAATTCCCACTAAATAAGCTTTTCGTACCCTTCAGGAGGAACAAAGTTTATGCTTCTTGAAAGCTTTACAAGACATCCATGTCGGTCAACCGCGGATCGCATTTTCAAGTCCGTTTTGTGTGGCAGGTGTGGGACGGTCAATTATCACCCTCTTTTAAATATATAAGATTTTAAAGCTTTTGGAGGGTGGAAATGCGACCGGGGTACGACAAAGCTCCATGCTAGGATTCTACGGGGAAAGGGTGTGCAGAAGAAGCCAAACATGTTCACTGTGGGAAGCTCAACAAGCGCAACTTTTGTCCTACCAGTGCGTCACGGCACATGTGTAGCAGTGCAGACAAAGAGGATGGAGACAGACATGTTATGTGGAGTAATGTCCAAGCTGAAGCAGGTGCAAAAATCAGCAAATGACGTGGCAATTCCCACTAAATAAGCTTTTTGTACCCTGCGTCACGGCACATGTGTAGCAGTGCAGACAAAGAGGATGGAGACAGACATGCTATGTGGAGTAATGACCAAGCTGAAGCAGGTGCAAAAATCAGCAAATGACGTGGCAATTCCCACTAAATAAGCTTTTTGTACCCTGCGTCGCAGCACATGTGTAGCAGTGCAGACAAAGAGGATGGAGACAGACATGTTATGTGGAGTAATGACCAAGCTGAAGCAGGTGCAGAAGTCAGCAAATGACGTGGCAATTCCCACTAAATAAGCTTTTCGTACCCTGCGTCACGGCACATGTGTAGCAGTGCAGACAAAGAGGATGGAGACAGACATGTTATGTGGAGTAATGTCCAAGCTGAAGCAGGTGCAAAAATCAGCAAATGACGTGGCAATTCCCACTAAATAAGCTTTTTGTACCCTGCGTCGCAGCACATGTGTAGCAGTGCAGACAAAGAGGATGGAGACAGACATGTTATGTGGAGTAATGACCAAGCTGAAGCAGGTGCAGAAGTCAGCAAATGACGTGGCAATTCCCACTAAATAAGCTTTTCGTACCCTTCAGGAGGAACAAAGTTTATGCTTCTTGAAAGCTTTACAAGACATCCATGTCGGTCAACCGCGGATCGCATTTTCAAGTCCGTTTTGTGTGGCAGGTGTGGGACGGTCAATTATCACCCTCTTTTAAATATATAAGATTTTAAAGCTTTTGGAGGGTGGAAATGCGACCGGGGTACGACAAAGCTCCATGCTAGGATTCTACGGGGAAAGGGCGTGCAGAAGAAGAAGCCAAACATGTTCACTGTGGGAAGCTCAACAAGCGCAACTTTTGTCCTACCAGTGTATATATACATATATATATACATGATGTATATAAGTATATAATGATATGTTCTTGAGGTCACCCTGGCTAGTGACAGGGCGGCAATAGTTGCAACAAGCATGTGAATGTGAGATACCCAAGCATCAAGATGCACATCCTGCCGAGGAAAAGGAGCAGCGGGCCTGGCAGAAGGTGAGCTGACCTGGCGGATACGTGGAAAATCATAGGTAGATCATAGGTAAATCATAGGTTACTCAATGTTTGTTGAAGTTATAGGTAAATGAATGTAAATGATCTATAGCACACGTTCAACGTTCCATGTCCATGTGTGTCAACGATAATACGGATGAACTACACCATCTAGATCAACTGAAGATCTGTAATTATGAATCATGAAGCAGAGTTCCCCAATTGAATACAGTAGATCCAAAATAGTACAGAAGGGGACATCCTCAGAGTGCATGTTTTCCACTGTTCTCTTGCACATGCACTGACAGTTTCTGCTTGGCACATCTGCAATGGCTATGTCACTACAGTGCAACCATTGACAATTTCTGCTTGGCACCTCTGCAATCAAGACCCAACTCTCTGCCAGTACTCCCCCCTTGGGGTGTGCAATGTTGTTTTACTATTATTATTAGTTTTTTGGTTTCTTGGTATTTTGTTTTTTTGGTTTCTTGTTTTCTGGTTCGTTGTATTGTCTTTGAAGGGCTGGCAAAACAACACAAAAGTGAAGGACCTCAACTCTTTGCCGGTTCTCCCACTTTAGGGGCTGCAAACATACTTTTGTTTGTTTTATTGTTTGCTTTGGGCCTCTGGTTCCATTCGAAAACCATGTAAAAACTATGGCAAAATGCAGGTATCACTGGAGGAAGCTTGGGGGGCTTGGGACATAGATTAGGCAATTTTGTGTGTTTATGTATTTTTCAAACAATGTGTTAAAAAAATGCAAAAACATAGGCAGCCAATGAATGTGTAGAACTGACTTTGATATTGACATTATTGGTCAAACCCTTAAGTTAACACATGTTCAAACACTTTGAATGATTCCCTCGAAAAGGAGTGATGCATCTCTTTGAAGTGAGTGCTCCCTTCAACAAGTGCATTTCTTTTAAAATTTTAAAATGGTGGAACATCCCCATTGAAGCAAGTCATGTCTTCGTCTACTTCTATGTCAGAAATGAACCCTCTTGCACATGCAATGCCCTTTTCATCCCTTTTCACAATATGTTTTCTTACATGAAGAACACATGGTACTGTATATATGTAAGCACACAAAATATGTCCTTCACAATTGCACAGCATTTTTCTGAATGCATAATGTGATATTCGTCCAAGACGACGAACCATATTTTCAAAGACAATCAAACATTGTTTGAACATATGGTATACTGTATGCATGTAGCACCCTCTTGAAAGAGTATAGTCGTTTTTGAAGAATGTTTTGTTGAATTTGTGAAACATCCCGTTAATATGAGTGAGGTATTTAATTAAAGGAACACAATTATTGTTGGATAGTATTGAAAACATGTCTTTCAGTGAGAGTTGTCTAAATGAAGGCTGATCTGACCAAGAGGAAGAGTACACATGCCAAACAAAAGTAGTCCAGTTTTCCAAGAATGCTGCTTCTTCACATGAAGTTCTTTTTGCCATACAGGACAATATGCTGTTGTTCTGTGTCAAGAAGCGAAAGCGCATTCTTTAATAATGCTCACAGTTTCAATCATATTGCACTTTTTAAAGGGATACTCTATGTCAATAATACTGCATATTTTGAGCAGAAATATTAACTTTTTTAAAAGGGGTACTGCTCCTTTGAAAGGAGGGTTAGACATCTGGAAATGCACACTGCTCTCCTTCAAAGGGCATTGTGCAACTTTTCAAGGAATACTTCATTTTGTTTGGATATTGTCCCTGCAAAAACACACTGCATTGCCCAAAAGGAAGATTACTCTTATTCAGAAGGGTATGTTTGTTTTGAATACTGCATTTGTTGGCAGGTATGGGGATGTTTAATCATGTTGAAGACATCTAGCATATTCTGCAGAAATTGTGTTTTGTTGAACGGACGCTGTAGTAGCATTTATCTAAGGTAGAGTGAACACCTGGACACTTCTTCAAGCAGTACATACTCTCTAGTGGACATGAACACATTTTCATCGGTAGCTTAGGCTTTAACATGTGATTACAGTTTCGCAAAAATAACAAGTGCGCTCTCACAACGTCTTGCTCTGAAAAAATATGGGTTTGCTGGAAATTGGGGTACTCCAAATTTTGATGGTCAATCACCATGTTCCCTGCAAACATTGAATTATTTTTCATGATATATTATTTGCCCCATTTCCAGACAAACTCAATGATACATATGTCTATCCCTGATATCCCATATTATCCCCACTATATCCTATGAAAACTAATTATGGGAATATTGTGGGTATTCCTCATTTTCAGCCGCGCCCATGTCCTTCTTTTGAACGCAAACCCCTTTTCCCGAAGGCTGAAGAGGAAAGTCGGAAAGCAGCTGCCATCCTGAGGTTGCCAGCTAGCTCGATCGGAATGAGGATGAACCATCATCTTTTTCGGGGTTAAATCCCTGTCTTTGCTGGTACTAAAAAGAGCATGTTAAGGTATCTAACAGGGCCATAAGAAAAAACGGTGAACGGTATGTCTTTTTGCTGACCGCAACTATGAGGTTTCTCCTTGGGGCGTTCAAATCTCTGACGGAAATGGTCAATGGCTGGTTCAAAGATGCAAATAGGCTTGGATGTAGTTAACCCCAATGGTGTTGGCAACTGGTTGCTGGTTTCATTTTTTTTTTGCATCCTTGAGATAATGGTTCCCATGTCTTTTTTTTCGGATGTGTTTTTTCCACCAATCGATGTTTCATCCAGGGTTCTTGTTCAGGATCCCCAGTTTCGGTCCGGTCTAGATGTTGTTTCCTTTGAATTCAGAGAAATATTCACTCACGACTCATGACATGAAGATGACTTGTATATTAGATCCGGTAAATGATGTAATATATATAATTATATATATATGGATATATAGAGAGATATTGTTTGACACATTAAATTATGTCAGATCCTATGCTAAGACGTGTTGTTTTTCTCCGTTGCACACGGACAAGCCGCACAGGGCGCTTGAATCTGGAGATCAGCCACTCATTTTTTTGATGGGGATCCGATGGCCAAAGCTAAGTGGTATGAAACCTTTGACACATATAGAGGGTTCAACAATATCCCATAGGATCCATGGTGCTGCTATATATGCTAACATGACTGGGGTATATTGATGGGATTCATGTTAGCATATATACCAGCACCATGGATCCTATGGGTATTGGAAAAAATGTCGGTGTCGTCGAAATACGAAGATCTTTGTATTAGATTGTCTTGTCAGGTCAGTATTAGAATGGATTAGTTGCCGTTGGAGCTCATTGGTCTTGATCTGGACCATCGGAAGGTCCCATGGCCAATAGGGAAATCCCACATAAATGGAGCACTAAGTGGGTCAATTTCCAGCAAGCCATGGAGGACACCAAGGGTTCTCTACTGATTGTGAGATGCGGGGCAGTTTGGTATTTCGAAGGCTGATTGTTCCGTTGCAGTTTTGAAGACGAATAGTATTCCTTACAATATAGCATGGCTTGTTGCCGACAGGAAGTGCTGCAAGGGCAATCAACGTGATGCTGGGAATGCCAATACTGTAACTAGCTGGAAATATCTAAGAATCATCAAGCAATAATGGTGATGCCATGAGTCCGCAGAGAGTCCGCAGAGTTTGGAGACCCGGAGGCAAGAAGTTGAGAAGCTCAGGGAAGAGAGGCACTTGGGGAGTGGATCAGTAATGAAATTTTGGAGGGCTCAAATCATCCAAATTTGGCATTTTAAGAAGCAGCAGAAATAGGAGATAATGGGTATGTTAGCAGGAAAATTGGGAGTGTTGTACCTCCATTGATGGATGTGTTGCAATCATCATAGCACCAATGATCCGAGCCGCTGCCATTTGGCTTGCCGGAAAAGTCCCGATTTACTTCCAGATGTTTCCCATGAAAACCTCCATGTAGGTCGGGAATATCCTCAGGTTTCATTACTCCACCATTCACGTCCCCAAATAACTATAAATGGGATTTTAACCATCACCAAACGGTCGGTTTCTGTTTGGGCCTAGCCAGCCAAAACCTCTAATGTTGGTAAAGCCATGGTAAAGCCATAATAAACAACCCATATGTTGATAGTTTAAAGCAACCATTGATGGTAAATTTGGGCTTGGTTCATCGGTTTATCAATGCTTTAGCGCGAAAGGCAAGACCTGGATCGACAGGTGCACAGTGCGCTGGGATTGGTGCAGTGGCAGATACCACAATGCGCGGATAGCTAGGTTAGTTTATAACTCCAATAACTATGCTACTATACTTACTGGGGTTTATAGACCAATTTACAGACTAAGAAACCTATAGTCTGTAGTTAATTAATATAGGGTTTATAAACCAACTTAATTATAACTGCGTGTGGGGGGGACACATTGCAGAACCACCCATTCTTTTTAGCTTCGGGATAGCTGAGGGTTGTATATAAGGACTAGCCTTCTCCTATCCGATTTCAGATTGATGCAGGTGTTCTTGCAAAGGCTTGAAGCATGAAACCACCTGAAACCCTCAAGATGTGGTAGATTCCAAAATTGCCATGGGATTTCATGGGATTTGGTGGTTTCTACCATAATTCCCATGGGATTTCCCTCAGGTGATCTGATGATAAACCATGGGACCCATGGGGTGACGCGAATCTCCGACCCAGCAGGTGACATTCAGAGAGCACCATCCAACATTTGTGTGTTGGTGAACACATTAGTACAGAAGTATATGACCATTTGCCAAACATAGTTGACAGAAGTATATGACCATTTACAAAAATAGTAATACATTATATCAGTACAATTCAGTGTCTTTCATAGGCATGCAGTGCAGGTTGATACCCGAGTCATGTATCTCCCCATTGTACCCCTCTCAACCTGTCGATGGCCAGGTCAGCAACCAGGAACAGAGCGGGAAGCACTGATTCTGGGGCAATCATAATATATATATATATATATATATATACCATTCTGATAAGATTGCAAAATCTTGCAAAGCTCCTGCTGATATGGGTTTGTCTGAAACTAGGGATACCTCAAATTTTGATCATTAATCATTGTATAATCATAATTTTCCTTATTAAAAACCCATATCAATTTATGGGCGTGGGCAAAATATCGCGCATGTCAAGCTACTCGTGATGATCGATGCAATCCCAGGACTTCTGGAAAGATGCGAAGTCATATATGGGGGTTTCCATACATGGGGGTACCCAAAAATGGATGGTTCATAATGGAAAATCCTACTAAAATTGGGATGATTTGGGGTCCCCTATTTCAGGAAACTCCATATATCAATTGGATCTCAAGCCACGTTTAGACTCGGAAGAAATTCCCAGCACATCCAAGCACATGTTGAGTCGAACATCAAGGGCTTCTCAGACTATCGGGTCAACGGTCCGACAGGAGCGCCAAAGCAGAAGGCATCACAGCCGCACTTCCACCTTGCAAGTGCGAAGCCCTGGAGATGGGTTTCTGGCGGAATCCATTGCTTGCTCACTTTTTTTTTGGATTTTTTTTCCGATGAAATGCTATAGGCATAATGGCAAGTGATATGTAAGTTATATGATATATGTATTTCGGAGGCTTCAACTCAGATTGTCCATTCCAATTTACAAAGATCATGTTTGCAATTAATACACAGTTTCAGTTGGGCAGAAACTTGGCAGAAGCCACCAACTGGGTTCAGAAACATCTTGAAGTTGCTAGTCTCTCCATGTGTTTGAGCTGTTTGATACCCAGTGCTGTAGATTGTTTGATTGTCCAAGTACCCTCTGGTAATTTAACATAGCTATTAAAGATCATAATGTTTAATGGGTATATCATATATTTATATAAATGACCATTTTCCATAGCTATGTTAGTTTACCAGAGGGTAACTGAGAACTATCAGTATTGTAGGCTTCTTCCTCAGTTCGGTCGCTTATTTCAACATGTGCGTTGCTTACATATGCTTACATCACATTATGTTCGAATGTTTTCTGGTTTTATCCCCATGTTTGTTCCACCATACATCCAACAGTTTGCCTGGTTTGAAACTTATTTGCCTATTACACGTATACATATAATATATATATGATAACTGTTATTATTATTATTATAAATTGATATTCATTTATAATATTTTATAATATATACATATATATAATTATATATATATGTATATATATATATGTATATATACATCAAATGTGAATATGAATCTCAATGTATCCCGGTGAGTTCCTCCATGTTCCTTCAATTTGTGATGGTGAAATGACCCAATGACCCCTCAATTTGTTCCCTCAATGACCCTGCCAGCCGCGGCCGCCTGATAGCGGTTCTTCAGCGTATGGGATGCTCAGAATCGAACAGTGGTCGGCGCAAGGGACGAGTAGTTGTCATTGAGGAAGATGTTGATGGTATCAATGGATTGGTTTAAGGGAAACTTTTAACCGGAAAGCCCCATATTTAATGGGAAAATCTATGGTTTCCGGTTAAGATTTTCCCTTAAACCAATCCATTGATGGTACTTTAACGGGATGTTGGTTGGAGTTTAAGCGACTTTTTGACTCGGTGGTTTGTTCCACCCTCCAGCTGTCTATCTATGCAAAGAAAAGATATGAGCAGATATGACATGTACATTTAGCAGTGTACATAGTAACATTATGTAACATGGTTGTTTTGAATGTGCACCTATCCACCCATCCCTCTATCAAGTTGTGTTCATGCATTTATCGATCCATTCATGGTCCAAAAGAGTACCCCGTGACTCCGTGACATTGGAGGCAGTGACAGTTTAATGACTTGAACACTGGGATTGAAAAACCGTTGATATCTTAGATGATCAAGATTGCGATTCATATTCCAAGTGTATACTATACATATTACAATATACATATATTGTAATTACTATTTCAATTATCAACATTTAATTTATACATATATATATATATAATATAGTAATTACGAAATATTTCAAAAAAAAAACTGTGGAAGAATTATTCAGTACATGTCCACTTTGATGATCGAGGCACCGCAGCACCGTCATGGAGGTGGACCTCAGAACCGAGGCGTTTCGAACTGTTGAAAAGCCACCGGGGAATCTGGAAAAGCAGGAAAGAAAAGTCGAATTTATTGCGTTTTAAATAGTTTTTGTCATGTTTATTTTTGCAATTACATATGTATATGTTGATATCGATTCAATCTTGGCCATGCAAAAATGGATTAAGAAAAATGGAAATGACTTGGGTATGGGAAAGTTGTGGCCCGAGAGGAACTCCTGGAAACAGTTTTTGGCAACTTAGTAGTGGCCGTCAAGTGCTAGGGTACTCAAGTTTGACACACCAACATCATCACTTCCCCGGAGCAATGTGCAGCGACTGTTAGTTGGAACTCCCGCTGTTTCATGTTGGAAACACCATCCAAACAACCACAAGGTGATGCCCCCGCCAGCCATGTTTGTTGGGTTTTGCTGGTTTGTGAAGCAAATTCTCTAGCTCGATATATGCCCTTTTCCAACCCGGGCCCTAATGATCAAGTCAACCTAGTTCTGTTTCCAGTTACCTCAGAACTGGGGCATCACCGTGGATCTGGCCCGCAGGGTAAGCCTCAGATGGAAGAGAAGGAACTGGAGGACTCCTCCTCCGGATCTTCCAATGAATACTACGAGCAGGTGCCCCGACGGATGGACGGATCCGAAACCATCATGGTTCCCTGACGGATGGCCGTAGCAAGAAACATGAAACATGACCTTCAATCGGTTTTGGGATTTAGATACATGATATAGTTTATGGATACCCATGATTTTCTATTTATGTTGGGATGGGCTTGGGATACATAATACTGTAATTGTAGATTATACAGTTTTTGGATCATTGGAGATGATTGGCGTGATTGTTATTATCTGTGTTTTAAGTACCCATGTAGCCATGTAGGGTAAACATGTGCCGGTCTGACCCGGGAGCGGCCACCTGAAAGTCAATGCATACTGTAATAGAGAATATCGATGAATTGTATCAACGGTGTGGTGTGCTACTCATAGCCAAGAGTGATTGGAAACTATGACTTTAATCCCTAAGGCTTCACGTCTTTAGTAAGCCCTAAATAAGCTCACATTTCACAACTGGGCATATTGTGAAGTAGTATGCCACAATTTGGGTTTAACTAAAAAGGGTGTAATTATACTGTATTTTGATGGGAACCACACTGATTAAGCATCAAAGGTGGACCAGTTTGTGAATAATTTATCAACCATCAATCAACCATCAATTAGCCATCAATCACCCATTTACTGTATAAATTAGTAGATATGTATATATATATATATAGATAGATATGTATACATCCCTGTTTTTATACTATGGCTGGTTAAAACCATTTTAGAGACCCAGGCCACTCATCACAACAACTCCTGAAGAATGAAGCACCCCTGCCGAACGTCGTGACAGGAGCCACCTGCACACATCAAGCAACGTTTGGCTAGTCACTTGGCGAACCCCGTTGGTGGGATCTTCGCAGATGGATGGTTCAGTGTCTTACAAATATTATTATTATTATTATCATTATTATCATTATATAAATATTTCCAGCAACCTCCAAAAAGATGCCGAACAATTCAATGTTTTCCAGGATCTTTTTTGTTGATATGTCCGGCAAATTTCTCAGGGTTTTCCACTTTACTATTGTGTACCCCATTGTGTTCAGTTTCTAAATCCAAAGAATCAGGTTCAAAGCTTGGAACATGGGGATGCCCCATTTCCAGGCAGACCCAAATGCTGCAGATGCTTGATGCGATGATCCCTCTATATATATATAATATTTACTGTATATACAATATATACTGTATATATATACACCATGATATTCATGTTCTTTGGACCTTTGCATAGGACTTAATTCCATGAGCTATACAAGTCACTTGACTGACTCCAACATATACAATCATATATTTAGATATATTTAATTTCGAGCACCTTGATGACTCAGCGGAAGTTCAGTTGACCATCCTTCTGGATTCCTCGTGTTTGGAGACTATAGACGTTTATGGTTTCCATCAAAGTTACTCAACAGTGTAATTCTTCGGGCAATCTGGTATCCACATCGTTTGGATAAATCCGCATATTTGCTGCAGTTTCTGGATGTTTGCAACCCTTGGATTTTACCAATTGCTGTGGCACTGTTCGGAGTGGGATCAGGCTTGCAACAGGCAGCACGCTTTTCGGTGAGACAGGAGATCCGCAATTGATGCAGGTTTGATAACATATATCCAATTGATGAGTTGCTTGCCCAAAAATACACTCACCGTATCCATTGTCATGGGGTATAGAAATTATATTACAAAAACCAACCCTGCTATGGGGATGTAATGCTGATCCAACCGCAGCATGGCTTATTGATCTGGCTGACTTGTAACGACTGCGACGTCACGATTGCGGCTTCAGCAAGAACCAACGATATTTGAGCTGCTCAGAGGGAGAGCTTTGGAACTCATCACGGAAGGATGTTTGAAAAGTCATACCAATTCAGAAAGATATGGACGATGCACCATGCATGGATATTAAGAGATCATTTCTCGATCATCAATTGAGTCAATTAGATTGTTTTGTGTGGCAAGAAAACGCAGAGATCCTGTAATTTTACATCATTCAAAACAGTTTGATCATCGCCTGTAGCACTTAAGGAGGACAATCGTGTGTAGGTCACTTGGTTCAGTCATTTGAAGCAGTTGCCGCACAAAGACCTTTGGTGCGCTTTGCCATGCCGTGGGGAGCGTTGCGCGTTGGGGTGGAGACCAAGTTTAAAAGTTTGCTCTGATCTGAAATTTTATGTATACTGTATATGTTTCTTCTATTGTATATTTATATGGTTTTATATTACATATATACGAAGGCGTATATGATAATAACAATAGTGACAATGATCAATGATAATATTAATAATGATAAGAATAATGATCAATGATTATAGTATTTGTCTCTATATCATTTACATATATATATATATATAATGTATAGTACAGTATGCATATAGTATATACATGTATTATAGAATATACATAGTATTGACATGTATAAATGTAATATGTGTATATATATATATATGTGTAGATGGTGGTAACTTTATCATCAGAAATGGTAACTTTATCATCAATCATGGAGATTGAAGTAGGGAACTGGGGATAATATGGGAGAATAAGCTATAACTTTATGGTGCTAAACGCAGAGAATTTTCGGGAATGATCCCAGTCATCACTAGTAATGTCATCATCCCAGCAACCCCCAGCAACCCATCCATTCTATTTTAGCACCAGTAAGACAAGGATGGTCAAGATTTGCCCAAGGTAGTGGTATGTACCCTCTGGTAAACTTTCACATAATGGAAAGATCCACCATTTTTCATGGGACAAATCCACTATTTCGACTGGGCCATTTTCCATAGCTACGTTAAACATAACCAGAGGGATTCGTGGTTCTTGGGGCTTCACCTGGGGATTTGTTGGTTGAATCCCCATGGCTTCGTGGATTCGGGTCTCTCAGATTTCATGGGAGATTTTTGAGTCGCGTTTTTTGGATGATGATCCAAGCAATATCTTGTTCACTGCGGATTTAAGTGGCTATTCTATAGTTCTAAGAGGTTCTAAGTGCCAGAAAAAACCGTGAATGTTTGACGGTTTTTGACCAGTTACTTTCTGGGATGCACCGAGATTTTCAGGGGGGCCATGAACCACTCGCCGAGGCGGAGGCCAGCTGTTTCTACGATGACACCGAAGAGTTTCTGGGCAAAAAGACTGAATTTGTGCTCTGTTGGATGGCTGATCCATAGGAGCTCGATCTTGATGTTTGTTGCAAGGTGATGTCCCCCCAATGATGTTTGGTGGCTCATAAACCCAGTTAAATAGTGCCAGTATAGCCCACCTTAGTCAACAATGTGCTGCCACCCAATTATAAGTTATAAACCCAGTTCCCTAATGTTCACTATTTTTGGAATACAGATACATCCCCAACTCACAAAAATCAGCCTAGTTAGTACCATTAGTATATCATAGTATATCTATGTTTCCCAATTTCCCCAACAAAAAAAGGGGGCACCACCTTGAAGCGGCTGCCATGACGGTCATTGCTGCGCTGCGCCGGCTGGTCTTGAAGAGTTCATCTTCGTGGGTTTTTACTGTGCGTTTTCCCGTTTTGGATGTGGGCTGAAAATCCGGTTCAGATCCCCCCCATTGTTCCCAATTGTTCCCAATTGTTGGGTTAATCCGACTTAATCATAGGTGTCATGGATTGTCATAGTTCGGATTAAGTCATAGAACATCATAGAACAAACATTGGATAACCAGATTGTCATAGTTTGTCATAGTTCATGCCCATGTTTTCTGGTTATCCAAACATACAACGGGGACACAACGGTGGGACGCTCCAAGGACCAAACTCAACGAGGCCATGCAGTTGCCTTCCGGGGACCCTGAAGACGACCAGCCAGAGACCGCCGAGGAGTCAAGCTGGGGAAACTGTGGAGAATTCTATACTATACTATATATATATGTATGATTATATATATAGTTTATTTTCTAGATTTTATATTATACAGCCCGTCAAGCTGTATATATACATGTTTATATGATTGTATTATACATTAGTTAGGTTATTGTGTTTTATCAAGTATGTATATATCAGTCTGAATAAACCATAACGACCTCACGGCGAGGTCACTGAAATAATGTTTAGTTTATATAACTATCCAGATCATTAGTTTTTTTTCCCTTCACATAATTGTTCCAGGATTTAGCAGATCCACATGTTCCTCGCAAGATGCTTGACGAACACTTGCTGAGAGAGAAGACGGTCTGGGGACTCTGGGGACGCTGGGACCTTTTGGGACTCTGGGAACCCGAGGAAGCGGGATTCATGGTGGGAGATTCATGTCTTATGGTCGACATTAAACATATTGATGTTTAAGCATGGCATCCATGAAGCACGATGATTAACTCATGAACCAACCATGGGATCTCATCCCCTAGATCCAAGGATCGTCCCGGTTATGAAGCACTTACGGGGCATACTCCAAGTAGCTACAGGTCATGAGCTTTGAGAAAGTGCCAGATCAGGTCAGTTGGTACTTGAGAAAATCTCATGACTACCTCTGGGCTTAACTGGTGCTGAAGTGGAGTTTGAATCATGTTACAAGGGGATCAGGTTGTTGAGTTTCAGTCCATCCTTGGGGTGATTTCCCTTGAGCTTCAGCATTTTCTTTTGGTAAGAAAAGGTGCCGAACAACTTTGAGTTGGACGTGTCTGCAGAAAGCCAATTCTTTCTATGTATGTATGTGTAGCATATGTGTATAGATTCTAGATATGTAATGTTATGTAATCATATGTATCTATACAGAGACACTGCATATACCAGTGAAAATGCAGGGTACCTGCGGGAGTCATGAGGCCATATGGAACGACTCACCATAATGAAAACTGTGAAGGTCACAAGAATATGATTGTTTCATGCCTTTTTTTTCTGTATATTGTGTCGAACAAAGATGGTTATATAATGGATTCTGATGTGATATATATATATATATATAATCTGGAATCCATATATAATTGTGTATATATCACTATATATAATCATATATAATAGTATGTTTTTTGTATTTTAATATCATACATATATATATATATATACACACGGTGAATCGACCAAATTTCCTTTGGCTCCTTGCTCCGACTTACTCTTTAGGTGCGGAGTTTCAGCCCGTACGGCCTGCGAGTTCTGGGCCGCAGGTGCAAGTTGGGATGTCCACAAACCAACCATTTGGGTTTACCAAATAGTTGGTTGATATGGGAAATAAAAGGTGATTTATTGGAAAAAATATGGGAAATATGGTGATTTATTGGAAAAATATGGGAAATAAAAGGTGATTTATTGGAAAAAATATGGGAAATATGGTGATTTATTGGAAAAATATGGGAAATAAAAGGTGATTTATTGGAACAAATATGGGAAATATGGTGATTTATTGGAAAAATATGGGAAATAAAAGGTGATTTATGGTTGATACCCTCTGGTAATTTAACATAGCTATTGAAAATGGTGATGTTTTATGGTTTAATGATGTTTAATGGGTTAACAATGGTAAATAATGGCATGATCATGGGATATACCCTCTGGTAAACTAACAGTTTGCTATTGAAAATGTCCCATTTAGTTCCTTGATTTACCCAGTAATAGCATGGTGATTGTCTATAGTTATGTTAGTTTAAGAGGGTATTATTTGTTGATAACCAGATTTGTGAACCCATATATTGTTGGTACACCCAAATAGTGTTTGTTGACATAATAACAAGGTTTATATAATTATTAGATGAGTTGGTTCATCACCAGGATTTATGACCGAAGGAAGTTTAGAAGTCAAACTTCCGACAATATGGACATAACGAAGCGTGAAAATAGATGAGCAGTGTTCAAAACCCCGGTTGGTTCATGATTATAGGGGATTATACTACCCAATATATTGGGGATTGCAATAATCCAATAGAGGAATCCCTACAAACCAACCAGTATATTGTCAACAAACAATAAGGGTTTCCATCAATGGGGGTCCACCAAAAATGGTTGGTTTATAGTGGAAAATCCTACTGGGGATACCCCTATTTTAGGAAACCTCCATATGTACCTTCTGGTAATCAAAAAAGGCAATGGAAAAAAATGAAAGAAACACTATTTATAGATGATTTTCCCAGCTATAAACCTCCATATATATATATATGATTTCCCATTGCCACATTTGAGTACCGGAGGGTACCATTTCTCTTGTATGATCTTCTACTTATATCATCTTATATCAATTCTCAAATGCAGTTACCTCGGCGAAAAGGATTGTTCCTTTGCCGTTGCTGCTGGAAGTGTCTGTCTGTGATTCGGTGCCCGAAGAACTGTTTGACATAGGTTCACAATGGTTCACAGCTTAGTCGCCAAAGTCAGCATTACTATAATATAGTCACATAAAGTCAAAATCCTTAAATCTGCACTTTTGCTAGAGTATCAAAACTAAAAAACAAATTTCAGTCTTGCTTCGGATGGCATGAGATGTTGTTTCCGTTCTCGCTGCGGTGGTGAACGTCAGGTTGTTTGTGTGTAACTCCAACAATGATGAGGAGTTAGAGGCAGGTCGTATCCCTGTTGGGGTACCAAGCAGGCCTATTTGTGGTGCTTTACCACCATGCAGATCAAAAAGTGG